AGAGAGAGAGAGAGAGAGAGAGAGAGAGAGAGAGAGAGAGAGAGAGAATGAATATATAAGAAAGAAGGGTGGGAGCATCTAGATTCATTTTTGTCCACCTAAATGCACTGTCCTCATCTTTGAAAGCTAAAGCTAAGACTTAGAATTGGTTTCACAACTGGGAAAACTGCCTGGTAGAAGGAAGGGATGGAGCTTAACAAAAACACAAATTCTTGTGTTGATTCAAGAAATGAGCCCAGAATTCTGTATGCTTAAAAGAAGAGCACCAGGTATGGTTCAACTAGTTCTCACTGAAACACATAATATTTTAGCAATGGCATTTGTTGGTCCACATACTAACTAGTTAGTTGATGTGAAACTTTACTTTTTAAAGCCCTGTTCTGATTTACCATTTGTCATCCTCACTTAGAATTCGCTGGGTCAGCCAGAGATTTCTTTGCTAGATAAGCTCTCTGCCCGAAGCTCAAAACATTTGAGACTCACACCTGCTTCCCTCATGGATGAGAAGACCTCTTTGTCTCTGGTTAATATCAACCCATTCACTCCGGAGACCTATAGGAAATTACTCCTTCAATTAAAGGGCAAGAGGAAAACCAGAGACTATCTGTAAGTGTAAAGTTTTCTTGATTTCTGAGAACTCATCTGGGCAAGTGCTAGAATAAGGTTAGGAATATGAACTCTACTTGAATGAAACTGAAGTAGTGTGCATGTGTCCCTCATCCCTACAACGGTGTGGTCACAGAGACTCTGGCACCTTTACATTCTGACGTGCACTGGAAGGAGCTTTTTGATAGAGTTTGGCAGAACAAGCAATAGATCTAACTTCCAGTAGACAGCTGAATGTGCCAGAGACTAAAGTCCATGGATTTCCTTTAGTTACAATAAGGCTAGCAAAGGCACTCATATTTTAAACTATATATTACTGCTTTGAATTTGGCCAGTGATACTGGTGATGAGAGCTAAGGGGAGTTGTTTGAACTTCTCTGTAGGTGATGGAAAACAGAATGAAGAGGAGGCAAAGATAGTGCTGCTTGCTTTCAAAGGCACTAAAAACATGAGATGTCAAAGCACCCTAATACCCTAATTCCCTCAATTGCCACAGAATAGGTACCCAAATAAGGACTGTTTGTGTTACTTGGGGGCATTAACTATCTTTGTTACATTTCTCCCTCCCTCCCTATCCCCCATCCCTCTTTATTGTGTTCCTCGAGTCTCTCTCTCTCTCTCTCTCTCTCTCTCTCTCTCTCTCTCTCTCTCTGTGTGTGTGTGTGTGTGTGTGTGTGTGTGTGAATGCACTGTCCCTGGCATTGACTGGAGGTCAGGGGACAACTTAGGGGACCATTCCTATTCTTCTACCATGTGGATCCCAGGGCTTGAACCCAGATCCTCAGGCTTGTGGGCAATGCCTTGACCTACTGAGTCATCTGACTTCTCTGTCCCACTTTATGGATTATTTCTTTACCAGTTTTCTTTGATATTTTGTTTTATACAACAGAAACAGTTCTAAAATAGGGAAGCCGTTTGTGTTAATACATACTCAGCAAAATAAATGCACGTCTAACTGTCTGAGCTTTGCAGAGCAGTTAATGTATTGTGCTGTTTCTTTGGAAGTTGTGTCTATGTACTATAGAGCCTTATGGCTAGATGAGGTTTTTCTCTATATGACTGTCCAGCTCTTAAGCAGTCGGTCCCTAAACACAAGTCTACCCAGTCTGCTTTGGCTACTGAGAATCCTCCTGATGTTTCACTTGTTGGGTATCTTTATAAACCTTTACAATGTTACTCAACTCAGTGAAGCCAGCAGGAAAACACAGATAATTTGGATTAAAGAAGAGATATTGTAGTGACACCATTTAATACCCAGGACAGGATAGCCTTCTCTCGTCTTCATGGTGTTGTAACTGTAAGAAGTATCGGGGTGTAGTATTAAATTTGAGTCACACATGTTATCACTAGATCTCATGAATATAGTGTTATTTGCTCAGTTTCTCCCCTGTACTCCTCTAAAACTGGTGTGTCCACTGAAATCTTGCCTGAAGACCCAGAAAATGACGCATGCAAAGGAGGATGGTCATCAATCATTTCTTAGTATGAAGTAACTGAAGACCTCTTAGGCAAAATTATTTCTGCTATTCTCAGTGTTTATCTGTGTACTGAATTAAAAGCTGGGTTCTAGGGAGGCCAGTGTTAGCAGGAGAGCATAATGTGGCTGTGAATCAAAAAAGTGCCTTGAGGTCAGACTTGGTTTCAAAGCCAAGTTCTGCCATTTGTGAACTGTAGAACACAGTATGGTTTAACATTTCAACTTTGGCTGGCTCCTTTTTGGGGATAATAGCACCTACCTTCTCTTTTGTTTTCTCCTTTGTTTCCATGTTCTCACACATGGATTATCAACTTGTGGGTCATGACCCCTTTGGGGTCAAATGACCCTTTCATAGGGATCATGTATCAGAAATCTAGCATATCAGATGTTTACATTATGATTCATAACAGTATCAAAATTAAAGTTAGAAAGTAGCAAAGAAAATAATTTTATGAGGGCTGGAGAAATGGCTCTGAGTTAAGATCACTTGTTGCTATTACAGGAGACTGGGGTTCAAGTCTCAGTATCTTCATGGTGGCTCACAGAACCTTCAGTTCCAGGGCATCCAACACCCTCTTCTGGCCTAATGGGTACCAGGAAATCATGTGATATACAAACATATTCAGAAAAAATATTCATATATTTAAATAAAATAAAACATATCAGTTTTTTATAAAAAGGAAATAGTTGTATGGTTGGGGGGTTCTCCACAGCAGGAAGAACTGTGCTAAAGGACCACAGGATTAGGAAGGCTGAGAACCACTGTCTTAGTATGAGTTGTCTACTTGCTTGAAATGTCCATTCCTTTCCTCTTTCAGCTCCATTCCTTCTTGGGTTTTAGCTCACATATTCTCTTCTGGGAAAGCCCTTTCCCTTCACGACTAGGTGTAGTTCATGGTGTCTCCTGATGCCCAATTATTATCCTGTTCTAGGCTCTGATAATAAATTTCTACTAGGGGTTATTTCTACTCCCTAACATAAAGTGAAGAGGGAAGAAATTATTTGCTCACAACAACAGAACTTGTCACAGCAGCCTCAGTGTCAATTATTCTTCAATCACCCTTGTTCTACCCTTTTCCCTTTTTTAGTGAGGAAACTGGAGAAGGGGCAAGCAAATCAAAACAGTGGCTACCTGCTAAGGTGAGCGTGATCTTTTGGTCCAGCAGTTGCAACAGACACCTCATGCTATTCATTCTGCCTGCCTGACTCTCTCACTCTGTCTCCTTTGTTCCCTTTTTTTCTTCTTCTCCCTCTCCTGTGTTCCCTCATTCTTCCCCTTAATCCCTTCCTCCTCATAAGCTTCCTCCACTTCCCCCTTGTCCTTCTTTTCCTTACCCCTCTTTCCTCAGTTCCTCAATCCTCGTCCACTCGCCCTTCTCTACCCTTACCTTTCTCTTTTCGCTCCATCTACCTTCTTCCTCTCTTTCTTTCTCTTATTCTTTCTTTCACCTTCTATCATCCTTCCCACCGTCCCATTCTCTTTTCTTTCCTTTCTCTGTCACACATACCTATCTTAACAGCTTTAGCTGTTTACGTTGCAACAGATTTTACATAGACTGTAGTTAGTGCCAAGATAATCATTTGTTATGTTGGCAAGCCATAGCTGGTATGTACATTGCTAAGCTATTAGATAATTTTTAAAGGTTTCTATTTCTGCTTTTAATCTGAGGAAACTTTCTATCCTGGGGAAGAGAAGAAATAAGAAAATTAAGCTAGTTTTGTCCCCCCAAAATTGAAATAGAGAGCAGTGGTATTGGTCCAGAAATTTCTTTGTAGAACTTCAGCTGACAAATATATCCTTACTTGTTTGCTTTTATGATCCTCTCCGTGTGGTATTCTAACTTATCAAAATAATACATTTGCCCCTGAGATGTTTTTCACATCTGAATTGTAGTTGCTGAAGACTGTGGAGTGCACTGAACACCCAAAAATAGAATAGCCAAGTTAAATACAAAGTCAACAGGTAATTCAGTTGCTATTAAGGTGTTTGCAACATGCGTATACATGTCTCTTATCAGTATTCAGTGTTCAAAACTCAAAATGTCTATGATGGTCACACATATCCCATGTTAATCGTGGAGTCAGACATCACAGTGGCTGCCATTCTTTTAATGCCTTTGAGTTGCAGAAACCCCTGATGTTGTCACTTCTAATTACTACACTTTTCTTGAGCAGATCTTTTCTGCATAAGTAAGTTAATGTTTGCCATGTTCTTTTCCCCATCCCCCTCCCTTCCTTGCCATGGGGTTTCTCACGGTCACCTGGCCTAGAACTTATGATTCTCTGGCCCCTGCCTTCTGAGTGTAGGGTTTCAGGTTTGGGACACTGCACCTAGACGGAGGGAGGGGAGTGGATTTAAATGTCAGCACGTGGCTATTGTATTGGCCACAGAGAAGGCCGTGGCCTCAGGCTTCCACCTTTTATGCAAACATCTCCACTCACTCCTTCACTGCCTTCCTCCTTTGACTTTTATTCCTTATTTGTTTTATAAGTCATTGACTGGTTTCTGATAAAATGCCAAATATATTCATTAAACAAAGAGAGTATATCTATATAAATATCTACATAAAAGTCACTGGCCAGGAGAAACACCTTTGAAATATTAAAACAATATAGACATAGATACAAGGCAAAAAGATAAGTAAATCTGCTTGTTCTTCTGTGTGATGTGTGACTGTACGCATAGATTTAGGGTCAACAAGGGTGATAAAACAATCCTTATAGAAAGCAAAGTGGTAGAACAGATGTGTGTGTACAGATAATTCTAGGCAAAGAAAATAACTCGTGTGTAGTTCTCTAAAAACAGGAGAGTGGGGTCTGTGTGAGAGGGTGTCTAGGGTGGGTGAGTGGCTGCAAGTGATGCAGACAGTGGGCTGGCATGTCCAAGCTAAGAACTGGGTGGCCAGAACACCCAGTGTCAGCTGCTATTGAGGGCTTTGGGTCTGTTGTTGTCAGAGAGTTTAACTCACTCACAGCAAACAACTAGGCTTTTAATTCTGTGGAATCATTTTGCAGAATTGTTATCCCTAGAGGAGGTAGAAAGAGAGCTGGTAGTGGAGGCAAATCCCTATATGGAGGAATCAGACATTAAGACTACCTAAGGGCAAAGAAAATTACAGTTCTTGCCAATAAGGATTGATTGGAATTGCATGTAAGAATGATCTAGGTATAGTCATGATTGGTTTTTTTTTAATTTGCTAAAGTTAGATGAAAAACATTCTTGATAATTGGGACATTCAAAAGGATAACACTGGGAAGAGAAATCATCTTAAATTTAGATTCATGTGTAGTTAAATTTTGATCATAATAATAGACTGCAAAATTCCTAAGTGTTGATATAGTACTAAGATAACTATGATATATATATATATGAACATATATAATATATAAAATATAAAATATAAAATATATAATATATATCAACGTGCATAAACACAAGAACAATGATATGTGATAAAAACACTGTATATTATGACATATTAATGTATCTGAGGTGTTACTGCTATGATTTTCATGTTATAAACAGAAAGCTGATGAGTTCAATGATTTCCCTGAGTTGATTTATTAGCTGGAAAATTAGTGATATTACCAGCTGGCCACTAGGGGGAGTTATTTTTGAGTTCATGTGATGGATTAATTCATTCAACAATTTTGTTTCCCAGACTAAGACTTCTGTGCAAACAAAGTGAAATAAGAACATTTACTCCACGTGAGGTCCAAATACAGCACTCAGGCCTTGAGAAAGGTAGAGATTCAAAAGGAGGTTTTGATATTATTCCTGCTTGCTTGAAACATGGCTTCACCCATTTCCTGTTTGTCCTTTAGCTGAGGACTGTAGTTCTGGGTTTCAGAAGCTGAGTTTCAGAAGCTGACGGGTCTCCCATCAGAATAGGCTGACCAGATGCAGGAAAGAACATTTCAAAAATGTGATCAGGGGCAGTACTGACTTGTAAGGTTCCAAATGACATAGGTGTGGCCAGCCATTGGCAAACTCTTACTGCTAGAAACCCATTGCCTTTCCCTCTCATTTTAAAAAGCAGTTTAGGTAATGTAATATAGCTCTATCTTATTGCTCACAGTATGTAGGAAAACTTATTTTCTTTCTCTTCTTTAAATATTTTTTAGAAAAGTCTTCTACAAGAAACTAATATGACTTCCCGCTATGAGAAAGAATTCTTCGAGGTAGAAAAAATTGGGGTTGGGGAATTTGGGACCGTCTACAAGTGCATTAAGAGGCTGGATGGATGCATTTATGCAATAAAGCGCTCTGCAAAATCCTTTTCAGGACTGTCAAATGAGTGAGTACCTTTGAAAAGTATTGGATGAACAGGCTTGGATTTGGTAATGTACTGATTCTCCATATAGTTTAAAAAAGAACACCAATATCAATAAAAATATACCATTTGCTTGTTTTTAAATGTATCCCTACCATCAGATGTCATTTTATACTCATAGCTTTACTGAGTTATCCAGAACACCAATGGTATTTCCTAAGATAGAACGTGATGATTTCAGATCATGCTGTTGTTTATAGTTATAGGGTCTCACCATATAATTTTGGCTAGCACCCACTAGGTGGAGAAGGTTGGCCTTGAACTCAGAGATCTGCCTGTCTCCACTGGCATTAAAAGCATGCACTACCCCAACCAGCATGTTGCTGTTGTTTTAATTTCTTGGCCTTTCTGTCTACTGGTCTTACTGCCATTCTAACGAATTAAATTATGGAATGGTCTCCTGGGACCTATTTAAGTTCATCTAAAACATTGTCGGACAGGAAATACTCTCAGTGGTTTAAATCTGTTTTGTACTCTTCTACCATACCCTCTGCAGCTGTGAGAAGCACCATGACTAAAAGCTACTTGTGTGAAGGAGGAAAGGCTTATTTAATTTTTTGCTTCTAGGTCCCAGTCCATTGTGGAAGGAAGTCAGGGCAGGAACTCAAACAGGAGCCGAGAAAAACTATAGAGGGACCCTGCTTACTGGCATGCTCCCTTGCTCATGCCTAACCTGCTTCTTATTCTCATCTAAAGCTGGAACCTCCCACGATGGGCTGGGCCCTCTCACACCAAATATCAAGCAACACAATCTCTTGTAGACATGGCTATAGGCCCATCAGATTTATACAATTCCTCACATGACATTTCCTCTTTCTAGGTGGCTCCAGTTTGTATCAAGTTGACAATAAAACTAACCAGTACATATATTACTAATTAATTCAATAGTAAAGTTTGATACTGTGTGTAAAGGAAAACTATTAGTAGTTATGTATTTATTCGTAGTAAATGTTTATATTTAACTTCCAGAACTGTCCATTTTCCTCCTTGATCATTAGGAAAAACAATATTTTCTGATTGAGTCAATGCTTTTGTGAACTCCTTTCATTTATACTGACTGTGTGGAAACCAGAAATTACAAGCTTTTTGGGTTTTTTTATATTGATATCAAGAACAGAATTTGCTTTGCTTTTGCACAATGCAACTCTTTCCCAAGAATTTCCCCATGACTCCATCAGATTCACTGAGTTTAATAATGACTCTGATGACTATGTAGCCTTTAGAGAGAATATAGAACCATAAAATATCCACAATTAAATGTGTGCTGGCTTTCTTGTTATGCCTGCTAAGACTTTTTCACTGTTATACAGAGGATTAAGACCTAAAGTTGATGTGCTACTGAGACAGTGAGCACATGAGGTACCTCTATATACGCCATGTTCAATGCATAGAACATGGACTTTGGTACCAGGTTGATCAAGTTTCTGCTCTAAGATCTACTATTATCAGTTTCCCTTGGACCAACCACTTACTCTCATCATGTTTTCCAATGTATGTTACAAGAATCTATAAGGACTGAATAGATAAAATACTAAGCATGCAGCAGGTCCTAGAAAAATATTTTATTTCTAATGTCTCTTGTTTCCCTTTTAAGAACACATTTCAATCTATATTATTTCAATTAATTTTTTAAAAATGCTCTTCTGTCCCCTGGGAGTTTGGATTTGCACGAAGTTTATGCTCATGCAGTGCTTGGCCATCATCCCCATGTGGTCCGCTACTATTCATCCTGGGTAGAAGATGGTTATGTGGTCATTCAAAATGAATACTGTAATGGTAAGTATGTGGACTAACACAGAGAAGGGATGGACTTTGTAAACCTTCAGAAATCAGTGTGCTTTCCGACATTTTAAAGCCTTTACATGTCAGAGTCATACTGAAAATGTTTGTGGCTGGAAGCAGAGATTAAGAATGGAGTTGAAGAGTACTTGAGCTTGTGTGTAGTTTTTAAAGCTAGTGTAGCTGATATACCAATGTTATTAATCCTTTCACAGCTTATCTTATACTGAAAGAACAAAAGTTACCATACTAGTTTAAACAATTCTGTTGCCACGTGTCAGGTACTTGGAAAGGTATAAACCTTACCATCTAGGGGAACGCTGGAATAAAGGTTCCTAGTCATAGTTGGTTTGGTAAAGACTGCCAATTTTGCCTGTTTTACTATGGACTTCTGAGTGAGGGGATCCTTCATGTCTCTTACTGCTTCAAACCTTTGAGCTTAATTGTCCTCAGGCATGGGGTGGGTGCTGTGACCAAACACAGTGCTTTCTGTTGTTTTAATAAATTGAGTAGTATATGCATTAATTTTAGGGGTAGCAGTACATATTCCGATCAGAGAATATTTGAAAATCCTCCTCTCCACAGCCATCCTGACTGTCTCTAATAGTGTAGTCTACCTTCCAGTACTTTTTGTGCACACCCAAAGGCCCTACATATGGTGGTCCTGCCTGACTTTGGAGTATTGTGTCCAGTAACAAAGCTTGTCCGTTAGGGGATGCGTGAATGAACAAGTAGATGGGTAACTAATGTCATGAAAGGCCAGGAAATGGATGCATACCTTACAAGACAGCACTGTGACACTTCTCTAACTGCTTCCTTGTAGATCCCATTTCCCTGTGGCCTTGACCTGTGCTTCTTTTTATCTTCTCTTCGGAAACTCACACAACCCTCTCCTTTTGTTCTAATAGTCCTCAGGGAGGTGGAGCCTGTCTTTATGCTTATGAGTGAGACTTTTCTTAATCATCTTTTCTTTCCAACTCCTTTTTCTAGAACGAAAATTGGTTTGATTTCCATGATTTTTTTTTTGCTATTAGCACAAAGTACAAAATAGCAAAAATTAACTAACAAAGTAAAATGTTAATATGATATAGAGCCAAATGAAAAGTTTCAAGAATTTCAAGACCATAAAGACAAGAAAGTTGTTCCTATTATAATCATCCTTTATTTCACTTGGGCATATGAATACCTCTCCATGGCTGATACTCTACTAAACTAGAGAAGCACTCAGGGTTGAGATAGATGGATACGTCCTTCAAAGTGCTTTGCTCCACTCTTTCTGTTAGAAGAACTACATAACAGAAATCTGATGCAAAGTCATCTGGTACAATCATAAATAAAGAAGTGGTCAGAGAAATATGGCAGGGTACTCGAAGGGGCCCACTTATTAAAGTTGTGAAGACCTGGTTTTACAGCCCAACTCTCATACTCACTAGCTTATATAATTAATTACTGGAATGTCACTCAAAATTTGTACGTAAATGGATGGTAGTATTTATTACAGAACTGATTTGGCAATTAACAGTAGTACATGCCAAATATTAGCAGATGCTAGGAAAAATAGAGTAGCCTCAATTTTCATAAAGGAGGCAAGACTTGAATTAGATACTGCAGAAGAATTACTATAGTTTAGGAACTCAGAGGGAAGGCATCCAGTTGTTGGAACATCAGGCAGGCTAAAGGCAAAGTACTGAGAGTGGTCTGACCTAACAAAGTCGGAAAACCATTATGAGTGATTCTCAAAGTAGGAAACAATATCAGCAAGATAAAAGGAAGGGATGCAATACAGGACTTTAAAGTCCAGTCAGTGGCTTTCTGATTAGATGTGGAGGTTACAGGTTGCAGGGAATTGTTGTTTCATCATCGTGGTCCATTGCCCTCACAGAGTGCTCACTCACTGATGGGTAACTGATGCTGCAATTTAATTCTTACACATGGGGCCTGTCCAAGTCCTCCTTTCTCCTTCCTCCTCAACTTCTCCCCCAAAATTTCCTTCCTTCTTATTTCCATCTTCTTATCCCATGGCTGCCTTTTACTCATCCCCTAGTCTGCCAAAGCAGTCAGACTGCGGCCTGTACAGTTGTGAATTTAGATGATGAAGTAGGTGATTTAGAGTCTTACAAATGTATATTAGATGTCTCTTATTAGAGATCCACCGCCATAGAATTCACCCTGCTGTCCCTCTTAAGCCTGAACCAATCAGATGTCTTCTTTTTCCTGACCCTTGTCAAAATGCCTTGAAAGTCACCTCTGGATCAGTCTAGACAACTAAAAGGTCTCTAATAGATTCAGCAGCCCCCAGGAGTTCAACTGATTCTGAGTTAGACTATTTATCTCTCTGTAATGGCAATATTTGTATCCGTGGTATCTTCTGTCACTGAAACTCCATAAAGCCAACCCCTGATTCTACTTGTTTAAACAATATGACACATCAGGTTCAGTGTGCACCATGGAGTCACATGAATGGCTGTATTTCTCCATTAAAACAAACAAAAAGGACCACTGGCAGTAGAAAAATAAAGCACTATAAAATGATATTGTACCTTTAAAAGATGTTCTTTCTGCCAAGGGGCTAAAGTGCTCTAAATTTACAATCATAAAGGCAAGATACAGCGTGGAAAAAAACATGATTTTCCTGAGAGGCCTTTGAATAACAACAGCTGAAGTAAACTCACTCCCATCTGCTACACCTGGGAGTAGCATGAAAACATTCCAAGAACATTTCTGTGTTTTGAAGAAACTGAGGTCACATGACTCTTGTGTTCTGGGAGTTTTTTCACAAGCACTCATAATTCTCACAGGACTCCAGTCTTGGACCGTGTTCTGACAGAGGTCCTTGACTTACTCATTTTACCTGTTGCCAGGGTAAACAACCATTTCAAAAACCTCTGGCTTTTACTCCTAGTCTTTCAGAAGAGGAGTGTGCATTGGATGTAGTTCTTGCCTTTTAGGAATACCAGGCTGGCTACAGCCTGTAGAATTCTCGTTGAGTGCAGCCCTTCCTCCTCATTGATACATAGTAATTTCACCTACAGATTCAATTTCACAGTAACTTCATTTAAAAAAAAATTGAAAATGTTTGCTTTCCTTACAAGGGAGTGGAATTTTCTTGCTGAACATACATATTTTAGCATGACAAACTGGCCTTTAAGGTTTATACAGGATCCTTTTTTTTTTTAAAGTACAGACATCCTTGAGACTTTATAATTTTAGACGTTTCTGTTGTAGACAGGTACAGCTGTAGTTTTATACCTGCTGATAAGAGTCAAGACTCTAATTTGAAGACCTTGTCAGTGAACTTGAGTCAAAAAGTGTTCAGAAACATTCTAACACCTTAGTGAGTGTATTTAAGCCCAAGCATGGCATGAACTCAGGACTTCGGTTTTATTGATGACAAAGATAAATCAAGATAGTCTACAGCCAGCGTGAAAATACAGGATTCAGGCATAATAGGAGCTTTTAAAATTTCTGTGAGTCACAACCATTACATTTCCAATTTTATGACCCATCATTAATGAAATAAAGGTCACACTGAAGTTACTAATATTCTATAATTATTAGTCTGACATTGACACAGGATTGATTATGAACACTAATAACAACTACCCAAGCAGGCTTGATTGTTGTATGGTTAATAATTAGGTAAAATTTTTAAAAGGTTGTCACATACCTGAGGAAATAGGGCCACATATTGTATATCTGGGCACATATTGAGAAACTAGAATCTTATTTTGCTTTCAAATTCCTGAAATCGTAGCATCTATGGCTGCATTGTAGGGCTGATAATGTACACCTTGAACTGACCCTGAACTAATCGAGATGTGTTCAAGTCTCTGATAATCATTTCCTGTGCATCTTCACACTTGTTTTATCTACTGTGGTGTTATCTTCAATTCCTGCCCAGGTGGGAGCCTGCAAGCTGCTATATCTGAAAATGCTGCGTCCAATAATCACTTCCAGGAGCCCAAACTCAAAGACATCCTTCTGCAGATTTCCTTGGGACTTAAGTACATCCACAACTCTGGCATGGTACACCTGGACATCAAACCCAGTTAGTATTTTTCTGTCTATATCCCTTTCATATTTTGTCTTTTATAGACCATCCTGGAAATCTGCCCCTGTGTATCTTCAATCTCAAAGATAGTACTGACTACAAGAATCACTTTCTTCCATTTTTTTTTTCTGTAACAAATTCAAGTATCTTTAATCATGTTCTCCTTGACCCAAGGGATATAAGGGAAAAGAAAAGACACTTTTTCATGTAAAGCAAAATATAAAACTAGACTTTAATTTATCACATTGGCCATATTCTGATTGTGTTGCAACTAGTACTGTGTTTTTCTAAGTCAGCCCTGAGGAAAGTGAACAGAATGAGGATGTTTATCACTTGTGAAACCTAAGGAAAAGTTATTATTTTGTAGGTTTTGTTTGAGACAGCATGTAACTATGTTCTTAAGAGGATGAGGATCGTATGAGGGTGATTTATCTTAAACAGGTGTTACCCCATTACTGGCTGTTCTGATACGATGTAAGAAATTACAGAGCTGGGTATGTGCACCCAAAAGGCAGATGTAGAACAATTTTTGTGTGTTCAAGACCATCTACATAGTGTGTTTCAGGCTACTCAGAACTACACAGTGAGACAGAGATAGAGGGAATGGGAGAGAGAGAGAAAGGGAGAGAGAGAGGGGAGAGAGGGAGGGAGGGAGGGAGGGAGGGAGGGAGAGAGAGAGAGAGAGAGAGAGAGAGAGAGAGAGAGAGAGAGAGAGAGA